GGGCTGTCTGCGGTGGTATGTCAAGTACGCGTTGAGACTGGCCGTAAATTCCTGCAGGCTTTTCGTAACAAGTACGGGTCTAAAACACTTAAATAGAAACGTACGTCATTTTAACCACAGCCATGCTTTGAAGATAAACAAATCTCACAAATAATGAAAACGAAAGGTTACCAGGTGATCATTAACATTTTAGTAGCCCATTTTATTAGAGGCTAAATCAATTCCGTTATCTGGGAGGAATTCTGTGCGGCCGTTTCTGAACCTTGCAGGCTCAGGGCGAAATAATGCTGTTTTATGACCTTTTGTTCCTCGTGACGGAAGTGTGTTGTTAATCTAAGTTCTAATCTTGATGGAGTGCTAGGAGATCAAAATGGTTAACGCCCAAAGCTATTTGGATTTCTCAATGCCATTATCTCTGGAGAGCTCGGAATGGCCTTTCTGTTTTGTTAGAGGAGTTGCATAGCATTAGTTGAGTTTATAAATAATAGGATTAGGGAACAAGTTACCTTCTCTTTGATAAGATTAACACAATATTTACAACTGAAATGCAAAGTTTTTGGAAAGGAATAATGTAAGGTTATGGAAACCACTACTTTAGAGTAACCCTACAAAGTAGACGCTCATTCATAATCTAAAAGTTGATTCATACTTTTTTACAATCTCACACCCTTAGATTAATTCTTATTTTTTACAATCTCTGTTTTCTGAAAGTTGATAATCATTCAGAATCTCGTCACCTGAAAGTTGATTCATTTTTTTTTTATATTCTTCGTTCCTTGAATGGGTGCAGAAATCCGTTGCTATGGTTCCATGGGTATCAATGTTGATACGTTTAGTATCGACGCTATCTGGGTATCTTTCTCGGGCATTGATAGTCACGTCAATCTCGAAGATTAATTTGTTTTCCAACATTCCTCGTCACAGAAACGGCATAACGCATTCAGATAGTCGAAGAGTGATGATACTCCCCATGCCAAAGACAACCTATGTTGAAAAATGGACGCTCAATGTCACTCAATGATGTTCGAACCAGAGTCGCCCGTGACGCCTTCTGGCATTGTAAAGTTCGGAGCTAAGAAGGGGAGGGGCGTAGAGAAAGATGAAAAAATATTTTCCCTTTTAAAAAAATCAAATCTCAACAAAATTTCAGCCTTCTGGCAAGGAAGAACAATAAGTCCGATTCATGAACAGAATGTAATTGTAAAGTCGCGTCGGTAAAATCATGTTTAATACAAGAATTTAGGTAGGTGGGGAGTCTGATATTTCTCTTGAGAGCCCTTTACGCCGCCACTGACACAATTTAGATTGTTGAGGAGGGAGAGCTGCTTCTATCCTGTCTGACAGGGCCAACCTAGGCTGAGTTGGAAGCAATAACCCAACAGATAGACGGAGAAATTCAATAAAGAAAAACTTGCCCCTAAGAGGCTCGAACTCACGTCTTCTGCGTATAACAGCAAAGAGCCAACCATTACACCACAGACGCTGGTATCGGCTGGTAGTTAGGTAGGCAGGTAGATAGGTAGGTAGGTAGGTAGGTAGGTAGGTAGGTAGGTAGGTAGGTAGGTAGGTAGGTAGGTAGGTAGGTATACTTACTTTAGCCCCAATCTGGTTTCCGCATTGCCCGGCTTGCATGTGCACAATTTCCCTCATGATGACGTGTTGTATGTGGCTGCGCTACGCGAAATCTGTCACAAAACAGAAACAGGTCTCAGAACAGAATTCTTCACTCTTTCTGTAATGGTAGTCGATAGAGAATGTCTTTCCACTCACTTAAGCTTTTGTACTGAAAGTGAATTACCGTATTTTTTATGTGCACGGTGCTGTAAAGAATTCAGTTATTTTCTTTCCTTTCCAAATTTGTATTTCTGAAAGCTGAAACAATTACATAGGCGCGCGACAACACACGTGTTTGTATAAATTGGAGTGTTTAGTATAAGAGTTTCAGAAGAGACCTACTCCTGGGAAATTCTCAGACTGCCAGGATGTGTCCAGTTTTATATACCGCTGCCCCCCGAGGTATCGGCGCGAGAGGTTTGCAGGCAGGACGGTCTCCTCACAACAAACCAAAACAGATGAAAACAGCGCCACCTTACTTCGCTGGAACCACCCATCCACTCACCAG